TAGAATTGATGAGTATAGTATTGTCATCTGAGAACAGTTATAGCATCAACGAAGACAATAATAAGACCTATGCTTACTGCATGAAAATTTATTCAGAGAACACTAGGCTTCCTTTAAAATCTGTATGGGAATTTAACTTCATTTAAAAAATAAATACATTCAAACAATACTCTTTTAAAGTCTATCTAAATTTCAAAAAGTAAGAGAAAATACCATGGAATACCTAATTCTTAGTACTGCTTTCTACCACTACTGAAACTGGGTATCAAGTATACAGTTAACTAACAAGAGATGTGAGTTTCTAGTTCTGCCACTCTCAAACTGTATAACCCTGGCAAGTCATCATTTTAACTAGAGCTCAGTCCCTGGGCTTTTTACCCCCTTAGTTATCTCATCCAGATCCATGGCTTTGAATCTTTACCAGTAACACCTAAATTTCCTGTCCAGTTCTCTCCCTCATATACGAAACTCAAATACCAACTGCCAACTTGACACCTCCACTTGGATATCTAGAAGTCTCAAATCCAACACATCCAACTGAACTACTGATCATACCTCTGAAATGTGCACCACCCTCAGCCTTCCCCAATTCAGTTGGTAGCAATTTTGTCCTTCTAGTTGCTCAGGACAAAACTCTAGAGCCAATCCTATACTGTTCTTTTTCTCAGCTCGTATCGTCCTCTAAGATCTTATAAAACTTATTTATTTGTTATGCTTGCCTCCCCTCTGCTGCTGATGTCGCCCAACCCACAGGTATCATCAGTAAAGGATCTCTGTGTTCACTGATAAATACAATGTGCCTGGTACTTAAGTAGGCAATCAAAAACTATCTATTAAATTAATTCCTTATTTCCACACAGGTGGCAAAACTATGTTTTAATTTATATTTTTTCATATACTTTAAATATACATATATAGTAAATATATTTGAGTCAGGGTCTCATTCTATCACCCAGAGTGGAGTACAGTGACATGCTCACTACAGTCTCAAACTCCTGGGCTCTATCTAGCGATACTCTCTCCTCAGTTACCCGCGCAGCTGGAACTACAGGTGCGCACCATCATGCCTAAATAACTTTTTGATTTTTTTGTAGACACAAGGTCTTGCCATGTTGTCAAGACTGGGCCTCAAACTCCTGGGCTCAAGCAATCTCCTGCCTTGGCCTCCCAAAGTTCTGGGATTACATAGGTGTAAGCCACTGTACCCAGCCTATATTTTCTTATATGTTTTAAACTACAAAAGTAACAAGTGCTTACTTTACTTAGTAATATAGTGCAAAGATGATTGAATAGAAAGTTAATGTCCTCAAACCTCCTCCATTCTCACTTTTCTCAGGTTATCCAGTTAAACTGGTGAATCTATCTGCATCTTACTCTGGCTCTTATTAATATACCCAAAGATACACAGAATTTTTTGCTTTTATAAAAATGGCATTATAGTCTACTCTATGCTTTTCTTACATATTAATGTGTTATGAATATTATTCTAGAGTAAGAGATACAGATCATTTCATTGCCTTTATTTTCTGCACAATATTCCATACTACTGCTATATCACATTTTGTTCAATTTTCAATAATATGCACAGACATCAGTGTTTAATCTAAAATAGAATAAATAATGTCTAGGCCTCTACATCTAATTACAATAATCGCTAATATTCACAAATTACTTTCCACCAATGAGAGGTGATGAATGTTCATCACATTAAGCAAGTAAGTGAACGGTAACATTTTAATTTTAGTGACAGATTGAAACAAAGTTTATAATAGTTAATCTCCAATTTATCTGAAAGCTTAACTAGTCAAAAGGTTCTAGTCAATCGAGGAAAAATTAATTTTTGTTGCCTTACCATGTGGAAGACACCCCATTTCCACATCAATCAATCAAAATCAGATTATAGAATATTAAAAACCCATACTATTTGATGCAAAACATATACTGCACACTTTATGGCCAATGAAGCCACAGTCGTGAAACATAAATAGACCTAAAATGAAATTCTGCTATTATATAACATTTGATCATAATTAGATAATAAATTTAATTAACAGATATTATAAATTAACAGATAATAACAGAAATAAATTGTCACAAACCACATTCACTACCTCTCTTCTTATTACTATTCTTTTTGATTTTTAGGTAGTCTTAAAATCAAAACCTTAACAAGAGTATTATTTGTATGTGCATGTTAAAATATGATTATGTAAAATTGGTTTAAACAATAATTTAAAAATGATTATTTCTTTGTACTTCCTCCTACTGTTTGGTCAATATAGAGATGACATCAGTTAATAATTGAAAATTTTTTTAGTTACAGACAATGTTTTATTGTCAAAGAAATAAGATCTGGAATATTGAGCATGACAAAGGCAATTAGAGTTAGAATGTATGTTTATACAGGAAGGTTTTGCTCTCCTGGACTCAAGAAACTATTCATTTTTCTGTAGGCTGTTATTGAAGGAATAAAGCTGAAATGGAAGGGAAATGGGTTATTTTTTTCCCCAAGAGTTCATTCCATCTCTCCCCTCTACTTCTTGAGCTTCTTAAGTCAGTGTTTTACTGTAGGGGGAAAAAAAGATGAAAAGCAAGAAGAAGAAGAAAAGATAGTAAAGATTTTGGCTATCTCCTTTGAAGCTAAATCTTGACTATTTAAATGCAGATTTTGATAGGTGCAATTATTTTTATTGATTAATTCCATCACCCGACAGAAGAAAATACAGATTGGTTTTAAGTTGTTCCTTGATTATGTACACATTTAATCTTCTGAAGAATTTTCAGAAAAAACTATTCCCTTTGTGTAAGGTTCGTGTATAGAAATCGGTCCCTGCGAGAGACTGGCTGAGAAAAGTCAACTTGGTGGCCTTTAGCATATGCTGTTTGGTCTACACTATCTTTCTAAAATTGAATACATTTTCAATGTGCAAAGACTGGAAGAGATACAAAAGTTCTTATTTCTGCCTGCTCTTAGAAATCAGCAGAAATGCACAGGGACAAGCCCACGTGGCAACCACTGGCTGTAGCTGAGTGGGGGGTCGATCCCTTTGAAAAGGCCACATGCTCTGCTGGCACTCCTCATCCCACTTGGTCTGCCTCCCTCATTTGTTTACCTAGCCCAGTAAGAATCTGTTTGCAACTCTCGGTCTAGTCTCTGTATTGTAATAGCAGTAAAAGAAGTGAAACCCTGGACTTTAAAACAGGTGAAGCTTGGAGTGTTCAGAAACAAGAAAATACTGTTTGACTTAGCAAAGTAAGTTTGCAAGTTAGGAATAAAACATATAGTGCAGTTGTGAACTATTTTTGAACTGCTTCCATTTTTAATTTACTAATTTGTTCTTTACCCAACATGTCTCTAAACACTGGCAATGTCTAAAAGCTGGGTGATTTCATTAGTCATAAACACACCTTTCTATATAGGTTGTTAACTTTATGTCACACACTAGAGCATAATATGATACAAATCACTGGGAAGCCTCACTTTGGCTCTAGTCACTAACTGCATGACTGGGGCAAACCCTTCTGGAGATCTGTCTCTTTATCTGTACATCAGAGACCATGAGCACATTCATAAAAATGTAAAAATATCTTTTAGTTATCAACATAGTAACTCAAGAAAAAACTATTTTAAGAAATAATTTAGAAAAGGAATTTTTTTTTATGTACCACAAAAAATTAAAAACTTATTTCCAAAAGTTGCTGACTTATCAATCTTTTGTTTATAAAATATTTTTAAATAGAAAAAAGCCAAAATTATGTCTTTTTTTAACTCTAGAAAGGTACAATATAATCATCTAAATAATTGATATAAAATTAATATAGCGACTGATTCCTATATGCTTAAAAAGTTTTCTTCTTTGTCATTCAGTCACATCCTTTCAAAGGAGTCAGTGAAAACCCTGGGAAGATGAAAGTAGGTCTCATTCATTAAATTCCCTCTGATATTTGCTATTTTATTATTTATTTGAAAACCTGTAGATTAAAGCTTAATGCATCCTCTCAAATTTAAAATGTATTAATATGCAACTGTTTTGGGTCAGAAAAAATTTCTTCCTTTTTTAGTAACAAGTTCATGTACTACCTATAAAATCACAAATATGGTTTGAGGGGATATTCATGTTAGAAAGAACCTTAAAGTGGCCCCCTGCTCTAATCTCTGACTATGATGAGACACCACACCTGTGATTATGTATATTACATGGCAAAAGGGATTTCTGCAGACATTTTAAGGTTACCAGTCAGTTGACTTTGAGTTAGTCAAAGGGGAGACTATCTAGATGGTCCAGATCCAATGACACAAGTCCTTTAAAGGCAGTTTTCCCCTCTGGAGGCAGAGGAGAAAGCCAAAGAGGTACGAAAAAGGGAGAGGATATGCTGTTGCTGGCTTGAAGATGGGTAAACCGTGAGATGTGGGTTCCTTGAGAAGCTGAGAGAGGTCCCTGGCCAACAGCCAGCAATGAAATGAAGGATTCAGTTCAGCAGCTTGTTTGAACCTAATTCTGCCATCAACTTGGATGAGTTTGGAAGTGATTTCCCCTCAGGGCCTCCAGACAGACTTAGCCCGGATGACCGCTTAATTTCAGCCTATGATACACTAAACAAACAATCTACTGGACTTAATGGCTTATAGAACTATGTGCTAAGTAAGTGTCTCAAGTCATCCAGTATGTGGTAATTTATTATGTACCAAGAGAAGACACAGTGCCAAGGAATTATCTATTAGTAGGAAGGAAAAGAAAATCTACTAAATATAAGAATGCTACATTTTTAGAGTGCTTAACGTTCATAGTAGATTTGCTGAATTGTTTCATGCTGAAAAAAATAATGTGTGTTTAAGAGTAGAAGTCATAATTCTTAGAACTGGAACCAACTGAAACCAGGAACAGATATGAAACATTCAAACCAGATTCTAATTGCAGCAAAATTCAATTATTCATCAATAAAAATATAGACATTTCCATTTCAAACTCAGGGAAACCATTTATAGCAGAGACACTTACCCTGTTTTGAAAAAATGATGCATGAAAATGTGATGTTGTAGCAGATATTGATATTAGAGTAATAGTTTCTTCGGAACTAGGATTATGTAAGTAGACTTTTTCCATTTTTGGCATTCCAACTGGCCTGTAAAAACAACAACAACAAAATTATCACAAATACTTCAAAGATAATTCTAATTGTTAAGATGATTTTTAGTTGTTAAAAAACGAAACATCAAAATTATTAGATAACTACATGGCCAAATATATTAAAATACAGATCAAATTGATTTATATTTAAAAGTGCACACGAAAATGCTTTTAGTCATTCAACAAATATTTACTGAGTGTCAATTACGTTATGCAGGGCACCTGGTGCTGGTATATAATGAATCAAGTTGCAGCCCAGTGAAGCTAACAACCTACTGAGGAAGCAGGCAGGGAACAATGGTTAGCTCTTTTTCTTTCTTTCTGCCTCCCTACTAATTGCAAATTATGTCTTCTCCTCAAATTCTACCGCTATGTGCTTTTCAATTTAGGAACAGAAACTGAGAGGCAAAGTGTGACGAGATCTTGTGAGTTAGGGGCTTTTACCATCCTCATTTTATAGATGAGAACATTGAGGTACAGAAAAGTTAATTAACTTGCCCAAAGTCATACTTGGATCTGGATTTGAATCTAAGCCGGCTGGGACTAATTGGCACGCTCTCACTTGCAGTACTAAACTGTCTCTTCTCAAAGGAACA